GGGATCCTTCATATCAAACTTTGAGGACAAGAACTTATTTGTTTCTAGTAGTAGATTAACATCACTGCTAGCGAGCAAGATGTCATCCACATACAAGACTAGGAAAATGTATTTCCCATTCTTGAACTTTGCATAAACGCAATTGTCCTCTACATTTTCTTGAAACCAAAACTTTCTTATTGTACTATCAAATTTCAAATACCACTGTCTTGAAGTTTTTTTAATCCGTAAATAGATTTCTTCAGGCGGCATCCCATACGTTCTTTTCCTTCCATAACAAAACATTTCGGTTGTGTCATGTAAACATTTTCCTTTAGATCCCCATTTAGGAACGTCGTCTTTACATCCATCTGATGTAATTCTAAGTCGTAATGTGCTACAAGCGCCATTATGATTCTAAAAGAATCGTTACATGAGACTGGAGAAAATGTCTCATTGTAATCTATGCCTTCTCTTTGCGTGAAACCTTTTGCCACAAGTCGTGCTTTAAACCTTTCTATATTCTCTTTGGAGTCATGTTTAGTTTTGTAGACCCATTTACAGCCTACTATCTTGGCTCCTTTAGGAATTATTTCTAAGTTCCAAACACCATTGGTTTTATTGATTTCATTTCATCTTCCATGGCTTCAAGCCACTTGGATGAGTGAGCGCTTCTCATGGCTTCTTCAAATGAGGTGGGATCACCCTCCATTTGAAATTCCTGACACTTATAAACTTCGTAATCATCAGGAATAGCTGATCTCCTGACTCTTTGAGACCTTCTAGGGGCCTCGTTAGATGATGCTTGTTCTATATGAGGCTGTTGTTGCTCTCCCTCATGTGTGACAACAGGTTCTTGGGGATCCTTAAGGACAGGTTCCTCATATTCATTCATTGTTGCCACAGGAGAACTAACAATAGGTGTTGTTACTACAGTGTCTTGCACTATTGGTACAACAACAACAGGTAGCATGAAGAATGGCTTCTGAACCATAGGAGTAGGCACGTATACCCGCTTCTCTTCAAAACTAATTTCACGTGCTAACATGCTCCCCCTGATCATATCATTCTCCAAGAAGACAGCGTGTCTTGTTTCTACAAACTTCGTTTGTCTGTCAGGACAACAGAAGCGATAACCTTTTGAATTTTCTAGATAGCTAATGAAATAGCAACTGACTGTCTTTGAGTCCAGCTTTTCTATGTTTGGGTTAAATACTTTTGCCTCAGCTGGATAACCCCACACACGTAAATAGTTTAGTGAGGGTTTCTTTCATATCCACAACGCATACGGTGTTTTGGGCACCGTCTTACTTGGCACTCGATTAAGAATATGAATAGCGGTTTTTAACGCCTCCATCCATAAACTTATCGGTAAGGTAGAGTAACTTATCATGTTTCTCACCATATCCATTAAGGTACGGTTGCGTCTTTTAGCTACTCCATTCTGCTGAGGCTCGTCCGGTGTAGAATACTAGGCTACTATGCCATTTTCCTGTAAGAACCTTGCAAAGGGTTCAGGAACTTGGCCATATGGGGTGTGTCGACCGTAGTACTCTCCCCCACGGTCGGATCTTACTACCTTAATCTTTAAGTTGTGCTGATTTTGTACTTCAGCCTTAAATATCTTAAATTTATCCAATGCTTCCGATCTTTCCTTAATTGGATAAATATAGCCAAAATAAGAATAATCATCTGTAAATATTATAAATGAATCATAACCATCCACACTCTTCACAGAAAAAGGACCACAGATGTCTGTGTGAACTATTTCTAAAATTCTTACGCTTCGTTTGTCATCTTTATTTATTTTCTAAACGTACTTTCTTTTTATGCAATCTATGCATTGTTCTAAATCTGAAAATTCTAAAGGCGGAAGAATTGATTTCTTAATCAATCGCTCTATTCTCCCCCTCGAAGTATGGCCTAAACGACAGTGCCATAATTTCAAAGATACATCATGCACTCTCTTCCGCTTATTTGTTGCATTCATAGATGAGGAAACATTCTCATTTTCAGTGCTCACATCATTCACTCTCAGAAAGTGATAATAAACAAAGTTTATCTTGTCAGAAGGCAAGACCAACACACTTATTATTAATTACAATCCGATATTTGTCATTACCAAAATGACAATCATATCCATCATCATCTAGTCGTGAGACACTTATTAAGTTTCTACGCAAAGGGTACAGAAAGAATATCTGAAAGCTGTAGTCTAAAACCATCATCTAATTCTAGAGAGAGATCTCCAATGGCTTTAACTTCAACTTCAATTCCATTTGCTACTTTAATCCTTCTTTCTCCTCTTTGCAGGGATCTCCTCGTATGGAATCACTGTAATGAATTTGCAACATGAACAGTTGCACCTGAATTAATCCACCAAGTAGATTTTGCATAGCTTAAATACAAGGATTCATCTATGAATGTAATGAAGTCCTCACCTCTCTTCAGAAGGCTCTTTAGGAAGTCTGGACAGTCCCTCTGGTAATGTCTATGCTTCTTGCACCATTTACACTGATCCTTCTCAACTTGAGCATTGTTGTTCTTCTGATGGTGGTCATTCTGAGAGGCTTTCCCATGAGGTTTAGCATTCTTATTGAAGTTTTTCTTCTTGTTGTCCTTCACAAGGTTAGCAGAGTCACCCTTTAAGGATTTTAGACTCTCCTCTTTTTGAACACACATTGCGATGAGCTTCTCTATGTCCCACTTATCAGGTTGCATGTTGTAATTAACAATAAAAGTTTCATATTGCTTTGGCAAGGAAACAAAAACCAAATGAATCAGAAACTCATCCTTGAGCCCCAAATCCATTGGCTTCAGCTTCGAAGCCGTGTTGCTCATCTTTAGTATGTGCTCTCTGATACCGCCACCAGTATATTTTTCATTGAACAATTTCTTGATGAAACTACTGGCATAAGCCTTTGAAGAGCCAGTGAACTAACTCTCCACCTTCTTAAGATAATCTATGGTGGTATCACAATCTGGGATAGACCCTCTTATCGCAACTGAAATTGTGAACTTAGCCACCATCAAGCACTTACGGTTTAAAATGTCCCATTTCTTGCGTTAGAGATCATACTTCATCCGCACTTCTGCATGATCTCGCTAACGAGCAGTGAAAATAGCATCCGTCTCATTATCTTCCCTCACCAGGTCCACTGGCACAGTCGGACATGGGGAGGTAAGCGCTAGGTCATTTTCAGACAGCGCAAGTGCTAGTTCATACTTCTCTCGCCATACCCTAAACTTGCCGCCTTCAAGAGGCGGTATATGCGAGATAAAAGCCATTGGGTTGAGTCCTGAAAAACACCGTCAGAGATAGTGAGAAAATATGATATCATAATTACATGCTTTAATTTAACATTGGTCAAAATGAAAACATATAACTTTCTTATACACTAATTCTACATCACCGTTGGGCAGAAATAGAATTAATGCATGAAAAACTTATGAATAAACATTATAATATTGTTATTATCAATGTTGGTCAGAAAAATAACAATATTATAATTTACGGATTAAAAATGACTACTCTTCAAATTAAATTCTCCTATTGGTTCACATTTAATTAGAAGATAAACTTTAACATTGCAGCGGAAACATGGAAAAATTCATTATCTATTTTTCACAAGCATTTAACTTTTCTCAACTATTCTCTGAAAAATTATCCCGTTGGTTTAAATTTTGACAGAGATTTTAAACTAGACAAATATCATCAAAAATTGCTTCTGAAAAGGAATAAAACATAAACTCATAGTTCACTATTCATTTGGCCCAAGCAGCAAAGCAGCCCAGCCTGTTCTGCTCTCGCGCGCGCTGCGCCTTCCCAGGCCACAACCTGGGCCTGGGCCGGCAAAGCCCCCTGCCGCGCGCGCCCGCCTGGGCCGAATGCTGGCCCGTTCGCTGTGCACCGTCCATCTCAGATCGACGGTCGAGCGCGCTCCTCAGCGGAACAAAAACTGGCGCGCGACGTCTCTCCCAAACCCTAGGCTCATTCGTCTCCCTCCCCTTCCTCCCTCAGCACAACGAGCAGTAGCGGCCGAGCGAAAGCCCAGAGGTGATGGCGCCGTCACTGGCCCCCTCGCCAGCGTGCGCGCTCCCCAGCATCGAGCGGCCTAGCCGCGACGCCCTTGGCCAAAGCTCGCGCAAGCTCGACGAGCAGCGGCGGCTCGGCCTTCTTCTTTCACGCCGACGAGACGGCAGCGTAGTGCAGCGGCGAGGTAAGCCGTCTCCCAAGCCCTTCCCCTTTCCCCTTCTCTCTGATTTGGATCTTGCTCTATTCTTCTCGGATCTTGTCCAATTGGGGTTAGGGTTAGGATTAGGTCGAGTTAGGGTTAGGTTTGAGTACTGTTCTTCTTCCCCGAGCTTTCTACGCGGGTTAGAGTTAAGGTTCGAGTTCTTTTTCAAAACCGAGACCCTTTCTTACTCTATTTCTTCACCCGATTTGGGATTAGAATTCGATGAACCCTCTGCTTAGATCCGAAACGGATCTATCACCTCCTTCTAAATGCTGCTACTCGATTTTCTACTCCGATAGGCTAGATCTACGCCTAGTTAGACGACCGATACCATTGATAGAAACATAACAGGATCACTAGCCATAGATCTAGTATACCTACTGATATTTGATGAAGTGTAAACCTTAGAACATGTACTAGTACGGGATTGACAGACAGAGTGAGAAAGAGATAGGGGTTGAGGAGATGCAAACCATCGGCCGCCTTCGTAGAAGACGAGCTGGCCATGGGGTTGCTTGACGGTGGCGCGGTGAAGCCCGACGGTGAAGGCGCTGTCGCTGTGGCAACGGTGCAGAGGCGGTAGGGGTCTTTCCGTCGCTGGCAGCACCCCCTCTTAGATCGGTTTAGGAATGTAGGTGGGGCGTCTGGCGGCTCAGGTGAATCTCGTGCCTTGTGCCCTGCTCTCCACCTCCCTTTTTATGACGCTGTGCGACAGGGGCCACCAACCAGGGAACAGTTGGACGTTTCCGATCAGAGCGCGGATCAAGGTCCCAATTGGCTCATCTAACACTTTCCGCCACCCGTAGACGGAGAAGCCGGCGGAGGCGCCGGGGGCATGGAGTTGGGGCACGTGGGGAGGAGAGGACGATCGCAGAGTGCCGTGCCTTGGAACGCGCTTGCGGGCATCCTGGCGAGCGACGCCGGCACGGGGCCAGTGAGCTGCGCGTTGAACGACACGTTGAAGCGCGAGAGGCTGGGAAGGTAAAACCCCGGCGGAAGCGCGCTGGCGAAGTCGTTGCTGTCGAGGAACAACGTGTCCAGCTGCTTGAGCCTGTTGAAATCCTGCGACACGCCACCGTTGAGGTGGTTCCGTGAGAGGCCAACCTTCCTGAGCACCGCAAGCGAGAAGAAGCCCTCCGGCACGGCGCCGGTGAACTGGTTGTTGGTGAGGTTCACCACGGTCAGCTGGGCGCAGTTGCCGATGTCGACCGGGATACCACCCCTGATGCCGTTGTGCCGGAGCGACAGCGCCTGCAGCGCGGTGAGGTTCCCGACCGTGCCTAGCGGTATCGTTCCGATCAGCCGCTTCCCGGGCAGCCGCAGCTCGACGACGCGTTGGGGCGCGGCCAGGGTCTGGTTGCTGCACACGACGCCGCGCCATCCGCACGGCGACGGCTCCGTGGTGTTCCATGGGAGGAGGAGGCCACTGTCCAGCGCGTCCCGCAGCGCCAGCAGCGCCGCGCGGTCCCCCGCCAGGTCCTGCGCCACGAGCCCAGGCAGTGCGGCGGCGAGCAGCGCGGCCACCACGAACGGGACCGCCACGCGGGCACCGCCGATCGGCCGCCGCTGGCGCGCCATCGCCCGGCGCCGCTGCGAGGTCCGCAGCTTCCAGGTAATCAAGAAAGGCAGTTGGAAGTAGTAACTAATAAAGCAGCCGGCTCGGCGCGCGCAACAAGGGGACGGCGACGGCGGGCGAGAATACGTCACCGCGTGTGTCAATAGAGGGGATGGAGGTTTGGAGGCAGCAGCCTAGAGTTCATCAGCGGCGACGGAGGAATCGGTGGCGCGGACGCGGTTGGATCGGAGTCGGAGGTGTGTAAACATGGCGCGAAAGATAGGATCCTTTTTATACGTACTCCTCTGGTTCGCATCGTACGTTCTTCCGTTGGCTTTATCTCTATGTATGTACCTGTGTGAAGTGAAGCTGGTGGTGAGCTCGTCTGTCCAGCTGCGCCGATGCAAATATGCGGCACAGTTCTGTATAACACTCGTAATGAACTCGACTAGTTTAGCACTTTAGCCATAGACAAAACTACAGCTGCTGCTAATTAAGCTAGATCGCCATGGACGGCAGATTATATTAGTATGCTGTGGTGCTGCCAGAATTGGTAACTCTGCTGGTCTCTGGATGTAGTGGTGACACTCCAGCTAATTAGCCAAGCAACAAGGTGGTTAAAGGTTAATTGGAGATTAGTTAATCGGCATCGGGCTCGGCGTCAATCGGACTCAGCGAGGGAGGCGGTCGAGGGGACAGATGGTGAACTGACGGCATGAGGTGAAAGAACTGAGGCTTGGCGTTTGGATGGGAGCGGGCCGGCGCGCGGCGGCGACGAACGCGTCGCCCCGGAAACGCCTCGCGTTCTCCTCCAGGAGGACCGTAGACGTCCTGCATTCCTTTGTTTGTACTCCAGCATTTCCAGCTACATGCTCTGCTCTCCATGTTTGCTTCTTAAAAAAAAAACACTAGGCAAAAGGGCCCTTGTATTGACACCAGTGCGCTCTCACCCATATTAATAAACATGCACAAGCACACCCGACCTATATGGAATGCAACTACTGAGAAAGAAACATTTACCGTTGAAGTCACACCACCTATTCCCTAAGTTCTAAAATAATATATTATAGTTGTACTAACGTGCTGTTTGGTTCGGCGTTTTCGCCCCCGTCAACAGGTCACAGCGTCAAGAGATTACGTTATTTCGTGTTTGGATGCTTCGGTCCGTAACAGGTCGCCCTGGGAACGGATCCAGCGCAGTACAAGACCGTTGCCCTCCCTCCCCAGGTGCAGGTGGTAACCGATTCCGATCTCCTCGTGGTCGCGGAGGGACGGACGCGCGAAAATAAGAGCACAGAGCGCCGCAGCTCTCAATGCATGCGGCCATGCGCGCTGCCCAGGGCGCCCACCCCTCTCGCGCCACCTCACCGCGGTGGGAAGTACTCAACCAAACAACTAGCCTATTTTGTTCCTCCCGTAACAGTTAGCGCCGGCAGCTGATCCCATTAGTACCATTCCCTCACGTTCGTTTTAGCCATTTAGGGCCTATTTGGAACGCATGAATTTCACAGAAATCACACAGGAATTTCATAGGAATCAGTTCAATTTCACAAGAAAACACAAGAATGGGGAAAAATCCCGCATTCCAAACAGGCCCTTACTTCTTCGTGTCTTGCGATACTTGAGGGAGACATCATTTCCCAACTTATTCTATGCTCGTGATAGTGCTTCATGTTTACTCGGACTCCACTTGGGCGAGTGACCCAACAGATCGTCGTTCCATCACAGGGTACTATATTCTTCTTGGGTCCTCTCCTATTGCATGGAAGTCCAAGAAACAAACCGCTGTATCTCATTCTAGTACAGCAGCAGAACTTCGAGCACTTGCCACCACTACTTCAGAAATTGTATGACTTCTAGTTGTTGGCTGATTTGTAGATTTCATTTCATGCTGCCACACCTCTTCTATGCGATAATACAAGAGCTATACAGATTACCAATGATCATGTGAAGCGTGAATTTACCAAGCATATTGATGTCGATGCTTTCTTTACTCGGACTTATTTTAATCAGCATACCATTGCTCTTTAGTATGTGCCATCCGAGCTGCAATTGGTCGACTTCTTCACTAAAGCACAAACTCGAGAGAAACATTGGCTTCACTTGCTCAAACTCAATGCTTCAGGTTCTCCACTTCTGCCTTGAGTTTGAATGGGGGTGTTAAGTGAAGGCCCGTCTATTATTGGCCCATATGGGCCATATGATTGTCTATATATACCTCTTCACTAATGGAGTGATACCTTCACATCCCTAAGGTTAGTAACAAATACAATACACATGAAATAAAAGAGAATAACTAATTAGAGAGGAACATGAGTTTATAAGATGTTTTAGCATTTTTAGGTATATTTTTTTACTATGTATCTAAACATAGTATATATATCTAAGTAGATAACATAAGATATGTATATCTAGAAAACCTAAAATGTCTTGTAATTCGGAATTAAGGGATATATGTAAGAGAGGAAACAAATGTATACAAGGCGCATGAGCACACACACATACTAAAAAAAAAGAACTTATATATCATAAGGTTTCTCAATGACATAGGTCATATGTATTACTTTGTCAATGATACTTTTGAAAAGGATATCACACTTTTTTAGTCGCAAAAAAATCTTCACCTTGTTATGTTCGGTGTCACAATGGACTTGCATCTAAGAAAATAAAAGAATGACACTAACATCAGCAGAAATCTAGTTGGTGTTTGGTTTGGTTATTGGAGAAATAATTGAATGAACATGCTAGGAATATAAAACAACAGTACAAATACCTTTTTCCTCTCAATGTAGATTGGGGGTCTTACACTCCTGCAGTGCCAAGCACAACACAATACCTCCTCTAGAATATCCTTTTTACATCAGCTTCCGGTTGAAGCTCATCGATCAACCTTTTTCCTCGACGAGGCTCCGCCCCACCTGCCATCTACATATGGTTAAGTAGTTAAGACCAAGTTCAATATTTCTTGTATCAATATTATCCATGCTTTGATGATAGGAGATGTGCCAGTTTTCTGAGTAGCTAAGTGTTGATGTCAAGACGTCTCTGGTTCTTGAATTTGAGGCGTCTCCTGGTTGTTCAACTTGCACATGGATTAGGATGTAAGTCTGCATGTATATATAAAATACTATTGCTGTTGTGTTGCTCTAATGTGGTTTAATAGGTGGAGTACCTAGATGCGCTTTCATCATCTAGAGGATCTGTTTGATCGATTTGACGCTTGTGCCTGTCCTTTGGACTCTCTGTATCTTTGACACTGTCGTCAGTTTCATGTGCATCTAGGAGTTTTGCACTTGTATGTACCACTGATGAGTTGTGCTGGCCTGTGGCATTTCTGATATGCTAGGTAATGCCATGTTTCATTGGGCACAACGGTCTTAGCATTAATAATGTATCGATTTCCCTGTGTAAGAAGAAAGTGGTTAAATACTGTCTGATCTATTTGTTTATGGAAACGCAATATAAGTTATGGAAATCTGGATGTTAACTACTGGAAAGTCGAATTGTTCTGTGGGTGAAAAAAATTTCTGTGCATTTTTTTTTACACGCACAGAAAAATTACGATTTTTCTGTCGGTTTCAAAATATCCCGACAGAAAAATACGAAAACCCACAGAATAATTATATGATTTTTCTGTGTGACAATACACACGGAAAAAAAATCAGCACTCACGAAAAACACAATTTATTCTGTCGGTGCTTTAAAAACGCACAGAAAAAATATATGCACGCACGTAAAAAATATATGCACGCGATAAATAAAAAAACAAAGAAGTCCTAACCCTAACCCGCCGGCCGCTTCGCCGCAGCGCATTGCTACTGCTTGCCCTCCTCTCCCCCCCCCTTCCTCTCACTGCCTCCCATGACGGCGGCCGGCCCCGCCCCTCCCTCCTCTCCTCACGGGCCGGGCCCGGCCCTCCTCTCTCTCCCCATGGCCGGCCCCCCCCCTCCCTCCTTGCCCCACGCCGCCTGGATCCACCGCCGCCCTGCCCCCTCCCCTCTCTCCTCCCCTCCACGGCCGGCCCTCCTCCTCCCTCCCGCGACCGCCCCGCCCCTCCCTCCTTGCCCGTGCCGCCCGGATCCGCCGCCTCCTCTCCTCCCGCCGCCCGCGGCCCCAGCCCTCCCTCCTTGCCCCACGCCGCCTCGGATCCGCCCACGGTGGCCGTCCCCGGCCAGAGCGCAGCGCGGCTGGGCTCCGCCGGTGGCCGGCGTCGTGCCTGCTCACCGGTGCTGCCTCCTCCCGCCGGTCCGCGTTGGTTCTTGTGCTCCACGAAACCCTAGCCTGCGGGTAACAATTCATGGAAAACTATCATATTTACATTGACAAAAAAATGTGCTAGGTATGCCTTGTTAGCTGCTAGGCTTTTGCTTGCATAGTTGCATCTGTTTAAAATTATGTTACACAGATTTTCATCTTGTTAAGTTGATAGTCTAGCATTGCATTTCAAGATTTAGACACAAGGAGGAGGCTTGAAAGCTGCAGTGGTCCATATGCAGAGTCATAGGCAACATTGGAACCCTCAATTGCCTTTTCAATTCAAGGTAAAGCTCTTCCAAAATGGCTGCGAGGCTAGACCATGCTGAGATAGATGGTGTGTGAGATGTATACTTACTATTCCATTGTTTATTAGTAGTTTTGTAACAGTGAGATGAGCAACTGTTGTACTGCCCTGTGAAAATAATCTGCTCGGTGTGACCTCAGTGTTAATCCTTGTTTCAAACTAGCAACACTGTTTCTTGCTTTCACAATGTGCTAATTGCTCAACACCTATTGCTTGCCTTAGGTTGCTTCTTGAACCGAAATTAGTGATATATACTGATATTATTTAATTAAAAAATAGAAGATGTGTGAGGGTGACTAATTGATGATAACATGTTGTCTCACATATTAAATAATAAATAAATAGATGCTAATCAGCATGTTGGCACAAGCAGCAGTCTGACCACTAGAAATGTTTGTGCTTATTTCAGTTTGTGGGTTAGTGATTCCAGTGCCTTTAAGTGCCAGTAAGGATAAGACCTGT